TTTCCTCTATCTCTTCTTAATCGGAGTTTGGTACTACAGATGGAGGCCTAGACATCCTCCCCACATGGACACACGTCTTTCTTGTGCTGATAATGCCCATCCTGATGAATTAGACGAAGAGTTTGATACTTTTCCTACTTCACGTCCTCCTGATATTGTTCGGATGAGGTATGACCGTATGAGAAGTATTGCTGGAAGGATACAGACTGTGGTTGGTGACTTGGCTACTCAAGGGGAGAGGCTGCAGTCTTTGTTGAGCTGGAGAGACCCTAGAGCAACCGCGCTGTTTGTTATTTTCTGCTTGATTGCTGCCATTGCGCTGTATGTCACGCCCTTCCAAGTTGTGGCTCTCGTGACTGGATTTTACGTGCTGAGACATCCGCGATTTCGCCATAAGCTACCATCTACTCCAGTGAATTTCTTCAGAAGATTGCCTGCCAGAACAGACTGTATGCTATGAGCTGTACTGTTAGTTGCTGCTATCCATTTTCCCTTTGTCTCTTAGTTGATGAAATTGATGTAGAAATGAGCAAGGCTTTGGGTTTTTTTCTTCTATGAAACTGCTTAGATGTAGTGAATTTTCTGTTGAAAGTTGGCTGTTAGATGCAATTCCATATTACTAGTACTAATCTTCTGTTTCTTTCTTTTTCTGAACTTTCTCAATGATTAATCAATGTATTGCTCTTTTCATTAGTCATAAATTTGTTGTTTTTTTGAAGTGTACAATAATAACATTCCCGTGTAATTTCACAAGTGGGGTCTGGGGAAAATAGTGTGTACACAGACTTTACTCTTACATTGTGAAGATAAAGAAGTTGTTTCTGATAGACCTCCGTTGGCTTAAGTAAAGCATATCAAAGCAGGTTCGAAAAAGAAATACACTAATGTAGAAGCCATGTTGAAAATAAAAGGAAAAAATAGTAACAACAACAAATAATATGACAGTAGAAGCAAAAAGAACAATATGTAACAATCAAATCGAAGAAAAAGATAGGAGGAGAGTAATAATAATAATAGTGAAAAGGAAAATTAGATACCGTTTGACTACCTATTAGCTTCTTTTGTGAAGATTAATACTTTCTTAGGGTAGGTGAAAGGACATGTTGATATTTTATGAGTTCTCATTATTTTACTAGATTTGGTGTTGAGAATGTCAAGACATTGATGTTTTAGATTTGTAATATATTAATTATTGTATCATTATTAATTTAATGAGGAATAATTGTGTTTACCATTGTAGTATAATACAAGTTGGTGATATTTGTATAATACAACTTGATAACAAAACAATATAGAGATTCCTGCAACCTTTTGTGATGCTTTATATGATGTTGGATCTGGAATATTAGTATAATAATAATAGTACCTATCAAAGCAAATAACTTATTGTAAAAAGTAAAAGGAAAAAAATACATTTTTTTATATATCAACTCTACCTTTAATCTTGGAACAATGGTAAATGTCTTCATATAAATTACAAGTCACAAATTCAAATTGTGAAATCGACAATGATATTTACATCAAGATAGACTGCCTACAATCACACTCCTTAGGAATGCAACCATTTCTCAAATCCAACGTGAATGCGGAAGACTTAGCATATTAAAGAATAATCGTGATGTTAAGACAAACTTGTCCCCTATTTAATTATTCCGCCAAGTACTTACATTTTCCATCGGGTAATTTTTTCCACCAATATTTAAGTAGGTAGGAAGAAATCGCCTAATATTTACCCGCATCACTAGAGTTATCATTTACATACAACAATTTTAAATGAGAGAAATTCAAAGTTAGTGTATCCAAAGAACAAAAGATACAATTCAAAACCTTTGGAACTTGAAATGTTGCTTTATTTGAGTAAAAGATCTATTGAAAACAACCTCTCTACCTTCACAATATACGAAAAAGAATGCATATAAACTCCACTTGTGCGAAAACAACTTCTCTACCTTCACGATTACGGAAAAGAATGCGTATAGACTCCACTTGTGCGATCATCCGAGTATTTTCTTATTTTACCTTTACCAACTTCCCCATTTATAGGGTTGTGTAGGTGCACTAATTTTCCAGATCCAACAGCATTATAAAGAAATAAAAAAACATAGTTGCAGGATCTTTATATTGTTGTCTTCATAAACAGACAAACATCACCAGTTTAAATAATGTCAACTTGCAATATACAAACAATGCTAAGTACAATAATTCTCTCTTTACATTAAATATTTGTAGAAACATCATTGTCAGACATTCCAAAAACACAAAAAATGCTTCATCCTTAAGGAAAACAAATTTATCAAGAAATCAAACTGATCTTGAATGCTTGCACCTCCATTCCGATAACAACACGAGTAGGGTCTGAAGAGGATGGTGTATACGCATACCTTACTCCTACCTTGAGAAGATAGAGAAGTTGTTTTCGATAAACCCTCAACTCAAGTAAAGCATTTCAAAGCAGGTATGCATGGGAATACAGTAGCGAAGATGCATCCAATATCAAGTCAATAAAAATCGAAACAGTAACTTGAATAAAGAGAGTACTTCGAATTAATCATGGAGCATGTTTTTCAAAAAGAAAACATCCACAAGACAACAAATATAGATTTGCATCAAAGCAGCAAACTTTCAACAAACTTAGAATGAATTAAACAGTAAATCTACTAGATCTAAACAGTTCAAGGAGATCTTACACACAAAAGCAGGACCCAACATTCACCAGTAGGTGCAGGACAAAAAGAGCCAGACACATTTACATCAATTCGAGACACAGAGAGAAGCACATAGTATGATAAAGATAACATAAGGCAAAGGTACGGTTCTCATAGCATACAGTCTGTTCTTGCGGGCAGTCTTCTGAAGAAATTAAGTGGCGCAGATGGTAGCTTGTGACGAAACCTTGGATGTCTCAGTACATAAAATCCTGACAAGAGTGCCACAACTTGGAAGGGTGTCACGTAGAGCACAATGGCAGCAATCAAGCAGAAAAGGACAAACAGCGCGGTTGCTCTAGGGTCTCTCCAGCTCAACAAAGACTGCAGCCTCTCCCCTTGAGTAGCCAAATCACCAACCACAGTCTGAATCCTTCCAGCAATACTTCTCAAACGGTCATACCTCATCCGAACAATATCAGGAGGACGTGGAGTAGGGAAAGTATCAAATTCCTCATCCAGTTCGTCAGGATTAGCATTATCAGCACAAGAAAGACGAGTATCCATGTGAGGAGGATGCCTAGGCCTCCATCTGTAGTACCAAACTCCAATTAGGAAGAGATAAAGGAAAATGGTTGGCAGAATAAGCTCCGGATATAGAACCAGTATCAAGAACAAGATATGGATCAGAACAGTTGTGATGGGATTTTTCCAATTGCATATTTGATCAAACCATCTTCCAATAGCTATTAATCCACCTAAAACACCCATAATCCTAAAAAAATTAGCTTTGCTTCTCCTCATACTCCACATGTGAGAACCAACATCTAACATATACTCCACTATTTCTTTCCTCAAAGGTGGCTCAGCACGACTCAGCCTCATAGAGACAATCTGAGTGGCCTGATGTCTCAAGCTGTCAAGCTGAGTAACAGTTAAAGGATGAATATAGTGCATTTTGGGTAACAGCGGCTGAGAGTACATATGCATCATATTCATTAACGATGAGCAAGTAAATCTTACTGCCAAGTGAATTTCACCCATCTTCTTTACCCCAGTAGGATGCAAGACCAGTAGCGGATAAGAATGTGTGTAAACACGATCTGTTTCGAGAGTTGAAAGACGGATCCTGACCTTTCCAATCCTCGAGTCCCTAGCCCCTCCAGGTTTATCTCCTCCATGCAGATGACAATTATCAAATACACCAATAGTTATGACAGTGCAAGGATCAAATACTTCCCAAGTGTATTGCTCATTCCACTTGGGAGCAAAGCTATCTATAATGGTCCTCGTTCGGATCCACTTCTGCCCATATTTAGCAACACAATAGGCATCTGTCGTTGCCCGATTATCCTTTGTTTTCATCGGCGAAAGGCCCTGAGCATTCAGAATACCTAATTCTAGGACACCTATACTGGACTTCCACAGCTGCTTTGCAGTTGGTCTAAGATCACTGCTGTAGTGTGTTGATTCATCCAGCACATGGTACCCTCCTTCCAAATATAGCCTCATGTGAATCCTGCTTGCGAATTTGATTTCCTTCTTCTTTTCTCCCTCAACGATAATGTGCTTTTCAAGATTATACCACTTACTGTTAATAGGTCTGTGGTCCAACCTCCTTTCAATGTACTGCAAAGGAATAGCACATCTTCCAAGTACATCATCATTGTTTGGTGCAACTCTATCTTCCACACTCAAAATTAATGGCTCCTCGAATGGTTCTGCTGCTACAAACATCAGATCCTCATTCCACATGGGATTAATAGTCTTGCTCATGGAAACTCTAGTTCTCAATGCCTGATTTCCCAGGATGGCCTTCACGTAAACCTCTGGAAACCTACTTCTGTCACCAGGAATCAAGTCCTGAGCCTCAATCACATTAACTCTAAGGTACCACAGCTTTGGTGAGAGGTACACCTTAGATCTTATATTTGCAAGAGCGTCAGCACCACTAACAGTAGCTGCATCCGAATGCCAAGATTCAGGAAACGCTTCATCAGCTTGAGTACCCATCCAAACAGCCAACATCAACTCTCCTTTCACTTTGTTACCACTTCTATCCTCCAACCTATACCACTGCGGAGCAAGAGGACTATCCGGGGGAACTCTTTTAGGGATATCATTCAAATCAAACATAACACGACCAACAAAATCATCCTTAATAAAATCCTTATCTTTCACATTCACCTCCAGCACAGAAGCCTGAATCCGCTCCTTGGAAAAAGCAAACACCTGATTCCATTCAGGATTCGATTTCTTCTCGAAATGACGAGTTGTACCCCGATAGTTTCCCAGCCTAACCTCAACATAAGGATCAAGACTACCCGTAACATCCTTCGCTGGTAAATCCTTTGCTTTCACCACCCGGACATAAAGATACTGCATTTGCTCAACCAAGTCATAGGTACTAGTAAGCTTATCACCCATGACCTTCCCTCCACCAAGGTGGGGTTTGGTCTCCTTTAGTAAAGTCATAGGTGCTAGTAAGCTTATCACCCGTGACCTTCCCTCCACCAAGGTGGGGTTTGGTCTCCTTTAGTGAAAAATCTTCTTGAGGTGGTCTCTGCATTTTCGAACCTTTCTACTTCTCCACCACAATTAAGCCAAATGTCCTAAATTATATCTCTGAGAAACAACTCAAAATTACACTAATACTCAAGAAACTTCATATACAACACAATCTAAGTTTGTTTTACCCTAATTCTAACTTAAGGTTTAAAAAGAACCTCATGAAGGATAACCCCAAAACTCCCAAAATCATTCACAACCTCAGATCTGGTTCACCTGAATGCTTAACCCTGCAAAACCCACTTTTATATATGAAAAACTAAGCTTAAAAATCATATAAATAAATTTAAAAAATATCAACAAACTCAATAAAAAAAATATCCTTCTCCCTTACCCATAAAAAAAAAGAGGAAAAAAATAATTAAATCTTCTAATATCAAGATTACAACAATATTACAGCTCAACAACTACCAAGAATGTAAAAAAAATGAATTTTTCAAGAAGACATTTATTAAACTTTTCAACATGAAATAAAAAATGTTCAGAAAGAGAAATGAATATACCTTGAAGGGTTCGTGGGAGATGAGAGTGAAAGATGGGAATTTTGCTGATAAGGTTGTAAAGATTGGAATTTTGAGGAGAAAAAGCAAAAGGGGTTTGGTTGCTTTTGGGTATCAAAGTGATGGAGAATGGTATAGTGAGGTGTAGATGGAAAAAGTGAAGAGACAACAACAAGGGTAAAGAAATATAGAGAGAGAAAAGAATAAAGTTAGAGAGAGAAAAGAATAGAAAAAGACAGAGCAGGGTGGTGGGGGTGAATAGTACTCTGTTTTCTTGTGTTCATCAATGGAGGGGACATAGTGGGGGAAAGGGTGGGGGTGGGGGTGGGGGATGAATATGCTGAGATTTCTTCTTTCTTTTTCCGTATTCTATTTGGGGTTCGGTATTCATATCGAAATTAGATTTATATTGAGGATAAAATATTTCTTATCAAATGTGTTTTTGAATTCGAAATTTTTAATTAAGAGTAAAAGCGTATTTACCACTCTACCCTAACTTTTATTGGTGCTACGATTTTAGTATTACACTAAATCTGATATATAGATATATAAACTGCATTTTCGTGCGATGTATAATCATGTTAAAGCTCGACTAATTGAGATTCACAACGAAAAATCTCAAGTAGTAGTGGCGTTTGGCTGATTTCATTGTGACATTTGAGTAAAAATTGGTTGTTTATTCAGTATTTGGTTTCCGCATTGGAGTCTGACTACTCGCAAAGCGTAAGGACCTATTCGGAAGGAACAAAACGTCCCTACTAAGAATTTTTTTCATGCCCAGAGCTTGAATCCAAGACCTCTAGTTAAAGAAGGAGCCGCCGCATCCACTTTCAAAAGTGAAAAAAATATTTGAAATTGAAGTTGTATTTGATCATGAATAAAAATTAGAGTTTTTTTTAAAGCGTAATTTGAAGCGAGAAACATTTTTTTGTTTTTTTAAGATATTCTAAAATTATTTCAAGATTTTATAAACAAACATATTTTTTTTAAGTTTAACTCTAAGAAAATATAAAAAAAATCATGATCCAATGCTTCTAGAATCTAACTAATTCAAATTTATTTTGAATAAGATCGATTAATTTAAATTTATGCCCCCTTTAAGAGGAAAGCCAACACGAGCACACCATAAACTATGTTTAAATTCGAAAATTCTGATTAAAAATAAAAATAACTTACTTATTCAATCACTATCTTTATGAGATCATAGATATATATATCCATGTGCTTGCGTCAAGCGAATATCTTTTTTTCGTGTGGGTCTTTGTCATCTTTTTTTATGCAAATAATGATATTTAATAAAATCCTTATAAATATTTAATTACAAACACACTTAATATTATAATATTAATTTAAAATTGTTATAACAATTCATAAACTTCGAAATCTTATATTTGCTTATGCTCTCAGATAATTTCTCAATTGAAGTTTATAAAAATATTGTGACCATTTTGAGAGATATTGCAAGAATGTGTAGTCCAGCTTTGCATTTAATAAAATTCAAATTGTTGGTAATACAATAGTTTCATTAGGTAGGTAAGACATTTCTTCAATTGTAAGTGAGAAACTATGCATTAAATGCCAAAAATTAATAATTATTATGTTATGATGATCTTTTGTAGGATACAATAGAAAATTCAACATTCCAACTATTTCATCATGCATTCATATTAGTTTGGTAGTTTCTTTTCTTATGTCTTAATTTTAATAAATTAAATTATCTGATATTATTGTTGATGAGAGGTAATAGATATTTTGTAAATTATAAGAAAATACATATTATTAGTCAATGTTGTTATGTTACAAGATTGAGGAGTGAATTGGTAAATTAGAAAAGAATCAACATGAATTGTGGTGCAGTGGTGGGACTGCTTCACCCTTAATTAGAGGTCTCGGTTCGATCCCTGGATATGGAGAAAATCCTATTACGAGCGTCACCACTCACCTCCATAATGATTCTTAATCGAAGCTCTAATGCGACTTTCACAAATGAAAGCAAGGACTTGAGCCCCGGAAGGCCCAATTTCTCGGCCCAAATAAATAGCACTCTTAAGGTCCACAAATCCTTTTGTGCTAAGTTATGCAAATGTCCCTTTTTCATACTCAAATTTATTGTTTGTTTCATATATTTCTAAACCTTGTGGATAAAAAATTAAACTATCGTCTAACATTTGTAATAACTACAAAATTTTAGACCGTTCTAACGTTTTCTCATAAAAATAATTATTTTCTCAAAGAAATCCTTAGAACATAATCTAAAAGGTTCACATATTACGAAAAACATAATACAAATGATCATTTACTAAATAGCTAGCTATTACAAACAGACAGTAAGGCTTGAGCCCAAAGAACTTGTGGAAGGCCTCTTTTTAGGCCCAAAGAGATGACATTCTGAGGTCCACAAATCTAGCAAAATTTCGTGTTAACACGAATTCAATAAATCACATTAAAAGGGGTCTTACGTAAGCTCAATTTATGTGATATGTTTTTTTAGTCCGTTTAAAAAATGACACATTTCTTTATCTTATAAATGTTTGATTATGTTACCAATATTTTACCCATATTAAGTTTCACTTATTTGACCCAAAAAAAAAAAAACTTTATTGATGGAACCAAATTATCAGTGGAAAAACATCTATAAAGAGCCTTTGAAATATAGATATTGAAATTCCAAAAATACAACATGAAACAAATATGTTGACAAGGTTTAAAATTTTAAAGATATCCTTAATATAACAAACAGATACATCAATGAAGAGGTGCATGCTTCTAGCCTCTTATTAGAATTACATGATCATCATAAATTAGACTGAACGAAAAAAAACAAAGAAACAATGTGAAACGTTAGACTAAACAATAAAACTCAAGAACAAGTCATTTGTCTTGAAACCAAATTTAGACATTGAACTTTTCATACTTAGGTCTTTCCAACATGATCACCATTTTTCTATTTTTGGAATGCAGAAAAAGAGGGCTCTTGCTCATGGCTCATGAAAAAAAAATTATTCATTAATAAATATATAAAATATGAATTTTATATACGTTTTTATTGGTTAACGATAGTTAATTAAGACTATGTATTATTACGTAATTTTGTTACTTAATTATTGTAAATTTATATTCTTTGAATAAATATCAAATGCAAGTTTTTTTTCTTGAGGGAGTGGGGTCCATGAAAACGTTTTGCTATATTTAGCTTTAATTTGTTGATTTCGTTCGATGATTGATACTATTTACTTTGAATTTTTGATTAATTCGAATTTGTGTCACGCCTCATAAAGCCCATTGAAGGTGAGATCGCTCTATATACAGATATTTTTTTATTTGTAGAGCTCGAACCTAAAATCTATAGTATAAGAGTGAAAGAACATATTTTATATTTATATTAGCCTTAAAAAACCTTATCTCCTCCTACCATTAATTCAACATAAAAAAAAAAAAAAGGATAAATAAACACTTTTGACAAAATTGTCTGAGGTTTCTAACCCTCAAGCAAAGTCATTTGTTTTATCATTTGGTATCTGATAATTATATTAGTGTCAAATTAAATTCAAAGGAAATATCATATTGGAAGTAGAGTACTCTCTAATAAAGATAGTTTTGTACTCAATATTCGATTTAAAAATTTCTAATTAAGAATAAAAAAATACTTATTACTCAACTACGATTCTTATCGGTCAAACAAGCAAAGTCTTATACTTACCTAAACCCTTTATATTTATCTTTCATATTTAAAGTCGTTTAGCATAACTAATTTTGCCTCACTTGGGAACTTGGAAAATTACTATTTATGGAATTTTTAGTTCCTCTACTCCATCTGTTACAATTTAGGTGTCAAAATTTAAATAGATACGAAGTTTAAATAAAATGGATATTTTTGAAATTCGTGATTTTTGAAGTATAAACTTTTTTTATTTTTGGAAAGTTTGAATTAAATAATTTTCAAAGCTTAGAAAAAAGGGCTTTTTTTTTCAGAATGATGTTTTAATATATGAAAGATTAGATGTATGAACTAATCATAGTTAATCATTTAATTATTTGTTATATAATATGATGCTGACCTTAATTAAATGCAAGTTGGTAAAGGGTATACGGCATGTTATACTTTCCTCAAAGGTGCCTAATTAATAAAAATTAGACATTTGAAATGGAAACAAATGAACTTCCTTTCTTTTTAAATAATTTTTCTTATATAGTTGATTTTTTTCTGCAGTAAGTCTCACATTAGGAGTAAAACGCTCCTTAACAAAGGCGACTTTATACACAGGAGAATTCGAACCCGAGATACCTCTGATTAAGAATGAAGAAGTATTTATCACTCTATGACAATCCTTATTGATATCTTAACTGATTCAATTAGTACCTAAAAAGTTACCTACCACTAACACAACTATATATCACTTTATCCATTAAAACTTAACCAGATAGAAAGAAATTATCTTATACTACTTTTGTCTTCGATGAAATTTAAACACAAACAAAGTTTTACTTAACAATAGAGGGGCGCTACTATCCATGTTCATAGGGAGTCAACTATTCAAAAAAAATACTAGATAAATTATACTTAACAATAAAGGGCACTAATATATATGTTTACTTTTTCGTATTATGAATTTCTTTAATAAATGTTTTTGTTCCACCACTGTTTAAAAAATCAAGCTCAATAAGTCTAACCAAAAAAAAAAATGAAAATCTTTGTTATACTTATATATTATCGTGGATTGTCAAAACATGAGAAGAAAACAATTTGAATAATGTAAATATTAGTGATACATTGAATCTAATACTGTCTCTATATATATATATATAAAAGAAAGAAATAATCTAGAAGAACTGAAAATGGAAATATAATTTACTTTGGCTGTCATTTTCAATATAACACCGGTAAATTTATTAAATCTCATGATGCTTACATTACTACCATTTTAATAGTAAAAATATTATTTATCACTACATTTTACTAAATACATTAACTATATATTAACAATTTAAAATATTTATCCATATATATAACTGTTTTTTTTTTCATTAAATCATTATACTTGTATAAAGTTTTTTTGATCAAGTTTTATTTTCGTACTCAATTTAAAATTTAACTAATTCAAATTTACATCAACAGAACGGGGACTCTTGCAACTTCAAATTGAGAGAGAGAAGATATACATTATATTCACCATTTTAATAAAAAGTCTTGCTTATTTTAAATGATGAAATTGACAAGGTTGGGTGACCTAATTTTCAATGAGCAGCTAAAATTAAGTAATTTAAAAGAGTTAATATTATTTATATAATGAAGTGAAATTTCTACGAGAATTCTAGGCTTTATCATTTATAAATTAGTATTCCAACTATTATTTTCAATATGAAAAATAAGAAATAAAGAAGAGAAATTAAATAAACTATATTGTTGGAATATCAAATTCCTCCATTCTTTTAGGTGACATATATAAGGTCCAGTAAAAATTTATATATATTTGGTGTTGATATTTAATTAATGTATTTTACTATATATAGTTTAAGTAATAAATAAGATGAAAATATATATTAATTATTAGTTATAGTAAGTGAAAAAAATATATATGCAAAAGATAAATGTCATGGCGTTATCATATTTGTGTTTTTTTTAGACTTTGATTATTATTGTATTGTTTAGGACGATTTGTCAATAGTATTTTGTTATGACTGTCTTCTTTGTCGTTATTTCTCCCTATACTAATTTGAATTGTTTTGTTTTAGTCGAGGTCTATTGAAAATAACATCTCTACCTTTAAGACAATAATTACAAATAAAATTTGTGTATATTTTATCCTCTCTAAATCATACTTTGTGAAATTACACGGAATATATCGTTATTGATTCATTATAGTTGATCATCTTGTGCTTGGAAGTGTTAGATTTGTCCAATTAGAGGAGTTGGTTGAAATAAAACTATTTAATTTATTTGCCTTGAAAGCGACTTAAAAGTAAATTAAATCCTTAAGGATTTTGTTGATATACCTAATCCAAATTAAACAAGTCAATATATATATGTTAATTGAAAACTTAGATACTATTTTTATTTTTCTAACGAATTAAGAGAAATGATATTCCTTTCTTCTCCTTCTTTCCAATCGATTTCATTATTTTAAAAGCTAAAACATCTTGATAATGACCGTCTAAATATACGATATTTTTAATTTTATTTTAAAAATTAAATTCTTCCCTTAACTTTGAACAACAAACATTTTTCAAATATCGAATATAAATAATTATTTATATTGTATTTGAGTTGAGAAAATTATTGCTTACCTTCAGCTCAAATTTCAATTGTTTTGTATAGTTTGATTGAACCTAGAATTTTTTTTTAAAAAAAAGTTATATCTTTTTAATTATACATAATTTTAATATATGAAAAAAAATATTTACGGAATTTTTTAAAACAGACAAAAATAGTGTTAAACAAATTAGGCAAACAAACTAATTTAATTCTGAACCCCCTGATTAGGTCTAATGTCTAGAGATTGTTTGACTCTTAAAAGTCAAACAAGTTTTTTAATTCCTTGTATAAAAAAAACAATAATGCTATTTTCTATATTGTTTTAAGTTAAAACTATAATAATATTCTCCAAATGGACATTTAACTTGATGTATTTTTATCTATTAAAATTACTTTTCTTTATAATAATAAATAAATTATGAGCTATTCATGTGTTAAAACCACCAAAAATTACTTTGATATTTTTGTTTTGCTTAACTTTAGTCAAAATTAAAAGGGAGAGATATATCAATTCATAATCTACCTAAAAAGGATCCTTATCTTATTTTGTTCATAGTCTAGATATTCAGTCTTAGACGTATTAAGGAGCAGCGCGTGATACTCGACTCCCTACATCGATGGAAAATGATTGATATTCTCGATATCTTTTCATATCATGATCTTAAATAATCCTCACCTCTTAATCATGAGCTAGTTTCTAAATCCATTATCATATAATCAAAGAGATACATTATAACTTCGATCCCATCGATATATACAAGACTCAACACTGATCCCATACACCAAAATTGAACATAACTCAAACTCAAAAACTATCTCAATAGTTATAACTACAAGTCGCACATATACTCAATAAAGTAATCGAAATACACACAAACTACTTGATGACAACACCATGGTCATCATCCAAAAAGAAAATGTCAATAGGAATAATGATGAAGAAAGAAGGGCATTAAAGTCATTTAATAATCACATAAGACTGAGAAAGATGGTGTAACAAGTAAGCTCAAAAGCGGTTTCTATAGATTTCTGCAAAATCGTTGGGTGGTTTCCCTCAGTCCAATTTATTTTTGGTTGAATACAACTCCGTCTTCTTCTTCTTCTCCTTCTTCTTCTTCCGTTTCTTTATCAATAACAACACCGACTCCGGTTTATATGTCTTTATTTTTAATATATAACTAGTCATTCATCATGTAAACGAGCTCTCACAAGCCCAATTTACACCCCAAAAGAAGAAAAAAAAAGACGAATGGATTCGTCTAAAAATCAAATTTCTTTCATCAATCAACACCAATTTTTTCATGATCCTCAACAACAACAACAACAACAAATGGAAAATCATAAGAATCATCAGATTTCTTTTGGATTATCATCTACTAATCCTGAGAACTTCATGTAATTCTTTTTTTCCTCTTTATTTTTTGATAATTTTTCTTGATTTTTTTTTATAACCGTCGAGTTAGCTTATGTGCAGCTCCCACTAGCACAAATATCGATAATTTTGTTTATCAAAGTTTGAAGAAATGAGAAATAATGGTCAAGGACATACGTCTCTACCTCTAAGTTGATCATCCTATCGACTAATGAACTATGAAGGGAGAGAAAACTCTAGTGACTTGATTATCCCCTTCATAGACCATTTATTAGGGTTGAGGATAATTAGAAGTGTAATTGAGCAAGCAAAAAAAAATAGTATTTTTGTTTTTATTAAAATTTGAAACTGAGATCTAGTGATTCTTATTAATTTACTTTATTGATTACTAAATCATGCGTTTTTAATATTTTTACTTTTATTTTATGTAATTAATTTGATTTTGTTTTGTATGAACAGAAGCAAAGAGAATAATGGTGGAGCTTATGATTTAGGTGAACTAGATCAAGCACTTTTTCTATATCTAGATGGACAAGATCCTTCTTCTTCATCAATTCAAGATCAAAGACGTATGTTAACTTTCTTTTTAATTAATTTTTCTCCGATCAACAGAAAAGTTATCTTCATGTAATTCATAGATCATAAGTTTGAACGGTGGAAACCGTCGTTGAAATAATCTATTGAGATTCTCTATGAGGAATAGTTGTAATTTTGGTCATGAGAAAAGTATGTTTTTTTGGACAAATTAAAATCTGATGGAATATATAGTACTACATACTTACTTGGACCAGATCTTCTCACAATTCACAAGAAAATAAAGAAAAAAATTTCCATTTCTGATTTTAATCCAAAGTGTACAAATTAAAAGATTTTCTGTTTCTTCTCTTTTTTTGCAAGTATAGCTTTTATTGTTCAATTAATTTGTCTTTTTTTTTCTGTAAATTATTTGTATGCATGACCATTCATAAAGGCATATTTTTTTGTGATATATTTTGCAGAGAATAATTATGGAATGAGGCCACCAACTCTCAACATTTTTCCATCACAACCAATGCATATTGAGCCATCTTCAACAAAGGTATATTTATTTAGTAATCGTGTAGTTTCTTATTCTTCGTAATTTTTCGTTCAAGTTATCAGCTACTTTATTTTGCTCTGTATGTTGTTATTCTACTGTCATTTCTTTTTCTTCTTGCGGTAAACTTTCTCTTAATAACTTCTTTTTCGAGTCAAGAGTCGTATTTCTACCTACACAAAGATATGATAAGATTTGCATAGTACATCTTATCCTCTTCACGATTGTTGTTGCTATTTGTCTTACACCATCAGATTAAGTTGAACGACAAAAATAATATATACATATAATTTTTTTACATTATTAATGTAAATAACATTAACGTTATCGATAATTAGTGGAGTAAGAGTGTTAACTTCTCGATACACTCGAAGTATATATACTTTTTATATCATCAGGTTAAGTTTGACCAACGTACCAACGACAAAGTAATTTCCTAAATCTGACATGATAATCTCGAAAATAAAATAACACCTTACGATATTTACTCAAACAATCATAAATGTATGTGTACATATATGTATGTATATATATATATAGCTAATAATGTTTCATTTTCTTGCAGTTAATTAACTATATATGTTTTAATTTGTTTGGTAGGCAAATAATAATGCACTAGTTTCTCAAGCTACAAATGGTTCCAAAAAATCATCTCAACCATCAATCGACAAAAGTGAACCACCCAAAGTTACTAAGGTATCATTAATTCTCATTTTCGTATTATAAATTCGTCGTTAATCTGTCACTAAATAGTCTATATATAGTTTGTACATGATTTCTCGATAAACCATCACTAAATCATAATCAAATAAAATTAGCGATAAAATTTTGCTAGACAAAAAATTGTTCATCGCCAATTTTTATTTGTTTTAAAAAAATAATAACGTCGTTTCTTCATACTTTTTTTAGGGAGAGGGAAGTCGTAAGGTTCCAACTTCAAGTCCTGAGCAAGACACACCCAAAACATCAGATCCCAAGGTGGGACTTAATTTCTGTAAAATTACAAGTTTCAAAAGTATTTTTTATTTTTTTAAATTTTTTTTGTATCGAGTCATTTAAATATTTTTAGATGATCAAGTAGTGTAAAAAATGGTGAATATATTAAAATTAAACTTGATAATATTAATTTTGTTTTTTTGTTGCATGCAGACATTAAGGAGACTTGCTCAGAATAGAGAGGCAGCAAGGAAAAGCAGAATTAGGAAAAAGGTTCATTAATTAATTATTATAACTCTTTAATTTTACTATATAGTTTTTAGTGTAAATGTTGAAATTAAATAATGGCTTCATATATATATGCTTGAGAATTATTTTATTTTATGGTAACTTTTTTTTCAATTATACAGGCTTATGTTCAACAGCTAGAGACAAGTAGAGTAAGGCTCTCTCAATTGGAGCATGAAATACAAAGAGCCAGATCTCAAGTAATTCACTTTGATTTCTCTTATTTTCTACTCACTGAATCAACTCATTGAAAAATACATGATTAAAAACAAATTTTCACTGAAATATTTTTTCTGTATAAAGACATAGCTTTTTTTTTCTTTTCCCAACGAATTCAATCAAAATATCTATAAAAATAATTAGAATATTTTTTAATAGGATATTTCAATGGAATAATAATAATTTTTTTAGTGATTCTTAACATATTACTAGCAAGATATTTTGGTAATTAATAATCTTCAATATTTATGTGTGTTTTTATTTGTTAAAAGGGATTTCATGTTGGAGGAAATGTTCTTCTAGGAGGAGACCAAGGCTTTCAGCTTATTAATAGGACCAATATCAGCTCAGGTATATACTATTTATGTTCCAATTCTCGATCTGATACAATCCTTTCGATTTTAATTATGAAAGAATAACGAAGTTCATCCGAACCGTACTATCAGATCACTTAAAAAAAAAGATAGATATATATGTAAAATTAATCATAACAAGTGGACTAATATATACGTAAGATATATACATTTTTATTTTTTTCTTTAGTATGTCAAACTAAAATCGTATTTTTTTTATACGATCGACGTATATATAAGTTAAATTCTTTTTGCATGAATTTAGATGCTGCAGTTTTCGATTTGGAGTATGCAAGGTGGCTGGAAGAACATCATCGACTCATATGTGAACTTAGAAATGCAGTACATGAAGAACAATTGCAGGAGGATGAACTTCGTATTTACGTCGAAAATTGTGTGGTACATTATGACAATATAATGAACTTGAAGGGCATGCTTGCAAAATCTGATGTTTTTCATTTGGTTTCTGGCTTGTGGAAGTCTCCGGCTGAACGTTGCTTCTTGTGGATCGGCGATTTTCGTCCATCCGAACTTCTCAAAGTAAGTACTAAACGGTTATATGTTGTTATCTTTTCATATTCAAAATTATAATACGAGACTTTAGTTAATAATGAATAAGTATAATTGTCACTTAAGTCACCAGAATTTTTTGATAAAGAGCGCTTAAATTTTACATGAGAGGATATTCTGGCGTGGATTTGTATTTCTATTACTTAAACTCAAACTTTTCATTTATATTTAAAAAAAATTGAGTAATTAATATGTACATAAATAATGTATCATGAACCCCATAACACAAAAAGAGTTATGGTTCAAACCCTAGTTTTCATGAGGGTTATATATAGTATTTGAGCAAAATCCATCTCAATTATTGTGTATTGATATGTTGGACCATCATGTTAATTAAATTGTCCACACACCAAATGTTCGGTGTGAATAAAATTTAGCCAAGATAAAAAAAAAATCACTAGGTAATTCTTTCCATCTGTCCTAATCTTGGTGAACAAAGTTATCTGATATTTGTTGTTATTTAGGACTTAGGAGTAAGATAAATTCAAATTCTGAATCTGTCTCGATATATTGTTGGCCTACTTCTCATGATGTTGTGTGACTTTTGTGTAGATAAATTATGAGAGAGATGGATTACAAGACTTTCCCTTATAGAACCCTGTTAGATATATTTACCTACTCAACCAAAAAGCTATATATGTTTCTTACTATTTTTTAACAGTCATGATTTCTTCTAGATCTATATATATTAACTTTAGTTGGTACTCCTATTAAGTACTAATTAATTAACAAGAAACAAAATTAAAGGACTTTTGTACTTTATATTTTATCTCCAACTACCACACTATTTGCTTTTATAATTTAATTAATTAGGTCATTTTGATATTGTTGTGGAGGTTTATATTTGGATTAGCTAGATAGATAGCTAACTAACCTTGTTTGGTATTTTATGGACTTAACTTATATAAAGTCAGTGTGATTCAATTTGTTATAGTACAATAGTTGTCTTACTTTATTTTCTAGGTAACTTGTTTGGCTTCATATGAACAATTATAAAATTATAGTTATTCTTAATCGCATAGTCTCATATTCAGTATTTGTTATTTAATTTTCTTTGTATTATGCTATTTTATTGTTATATTCTTTTGCTATCTTGCTTCGATGACTTTTCTTTTGAGACGATGGCCTAGCAAAACCAACCTCTCTACCTCACAATATGAGAAGTAAGGTTTTCGTAGTTCCTATGCTTTTTAGACCCGATTTATGAAATTACATTGGATGATGGTCTTGCAGAAACAGAGCTAGGCTCAATAATTTTGACTAAAATCTTGTATTTGTGTAACATTGAATATGCATAAATAATTCATTCAAAATTCTTATATACTAAAAATTCTTGATCCGTCTCTGGTTAAACAGATTATAATGTGTCAGATAGAGGCATTAACAGAAAACCAATTGTTGGGAATGTGTGGATTACAAAAATCAACACAAGAAGCTGAGGATGCTTTGTCACAAGGATTAGAAGCTTTGAATCAGTCATTATCAGATACAATAATTGCCTCAGATGCATTAATATTGGGTAATAATAATGAAAATATGGGAAACTACATGGCTCTTGCTATTAACCAACTCTCCACTGTTGAAGCCTTCCTTAGACAGGTATATTATATTATATTATATTATATTATATATTTATCGATAGATTATGTGATTTTCTTTTTAATCGATTTTAAAAAAAAAGTTACTTTTGTTAAATGAATTTTGAATTTAATTCAACTTTAAAAACTAGTTTAAATGGAGGAAAACTGTTCAAGACATATAAAAAGTACCGACTCAATCTGAGACATTTTCTTCCAACAACCCCCTTACGCTCAGACACTTTTTTTTTACTGCAACATGCACAATCATGGATTAGGTTTATATTCCCGAGCGCTCTTGTGTGGGGAACATCGAACTCAATGGGCTTGGCTTTGATATCTGAGCAATCATACTCTCTTTGAACTATTGAAGTATGAAATAAGCCTAAAATTGATTAAATTTAGTATCAGAGTCAGGCTCATTGAATTCTTTGTGGGTGTGAATATATCCCGATTTATGATTGTGTATGCGCTAGTCCGAAATGTGTTTGCATGTGAGGGGGTGTTGCAAAGAAATCGGAACAAGATCTCATAACTCTTTATATATATGGCTTGAACAATCTCTCTCTTATAGAACTTGTTTTGAAATGAGAGTTAAACCAAAGGTTTGTTTAACAACTTTCTCCTTTTCAATTTACGTATATCAATTTAACTGGACATAAAATTTTAAATCTTGTGATTTTAAACCTGCCGGATGAACTATACTATAAATTATTTATTTATATTTATTGTTGACTCTAATTAAAAAGATGTAGAAGTACAAATTATTTAACAAATGAAAAAATAAATGATTTGTGTTTTACTTTTCAGGCCGATAATTTGAGGCACCAAACAATTCATCGGCTGCTTCAAATCTTAACAACTCGTCAAGCCGCGAGGTGTTTTATAGCAATCGGCGATTATTTCCATCGGCTTCGAGCCCTCAGCTCGCTTTGGCTGGCGCGTCCTCGTCACGAATAATTAATTAGCTAGTTAATAATTAGCCTTTTGTAATCTTAATTTCTTCACCTATATTTTCCCCCTAAATGTTTCTATTACTTTTGTTTGTGTTGATATAGATGAAACATAGTTATAGGCAAAATGATAAAATTAGTACTTTATCAATTTTAATTTTTGTAACGATGTTTGGCTGAACACAACACTTTAAAAAAAAAAAGACTTTAAAAACATGTAATCTAAAACAAATCTTAAGAATTTATATGACTATAAATCAACTCACTCAGCGTAGACTCTTTTTAAATTCTTTATGTATTTATATTTATAGCATATGATAACAAAAATCTCGGCCTCGCCATTAATAAGTAGAGTTGCTCTTTAGGTGTTACAACTTCACTTTTACTTGATTTAAGTTCTAATTATCAAATATCATATCTCTCTTTTACCTAGCTTTCCCCACCTACCCAAAAAAGAATATATGATTTTTTTATAGATATATCTCTCAACTAAAATTCAGGTTAGTTGACTATTAAACTATGAGACATCTAAAAGTAATTATTATTAAAAACAATGTCAAACTTATAATTGAATTGAGCATGAAAATGTTGTGTTGTCCTTTTCAAGATGGCATTGTTTTCTCAATAGTCATGGAGACAATTGAGACCATTAAGAAGAGATTAGGTGATCTAAATTGATAATGTATAACATCCTAACACAAAGTCAAACAATACAAATTAATTACTCCGTATGTTCATATTTACTTGTCCAGATTAGACTTTGCATAACGACATGATCATTTATTGCAGTACTCATATTAATTGATCATAACTTCTATGATCAGGTAACAAGTTCACGACATGAATTCAATCTCTTGCAACAATGAAAAGTGAGATTCATAATTTCATATAATGAACTCAATAGGGTTCATCATCTCTTCTTCTAACCTCAAAGATAAGTGGCAAATTAGGCTTAAAATGAACAGCATCAAATTGAAACCTAACAATTCACAGATCCTATTTAAGAGGGTAAAAAAAGAAGTGCATCGAAACATAGAACTGCATCAAACACTATGTACATATTCAAATGCATATCTCCAATGTATGGTGAATACATACTCAAATGCATATCGCCAAAACAAAAAACTTCAGCAGGATGTAAAAGTCACTTCTATAAAGGTACATTCTAACAAGGAACAGAAAGATATCGAAAGATATCCTAATTCAACTAAGTGCTTGATCATCAGAAGATGATCCACATTACCTCCCTGTTCAGCAGATCTACCTCCTTTCTCCAAAATAACCGAGTATGTGATTCTCAACCTTGATTGAGTTGAACATCAAAATGGAAAATCAGCGCATTGACATTAAAGTTTTAACTCTTTTGTCCCTCTCTTCTTTCCTGGCACCTGGGGTCCTCTTCAATTTATGCAGCTCTTCCATAACATCTTTCTCAACAGTGTCAATTGAGTTCAGCAGCTTTCTTTGTGGTGTGAGGCATTCAGAGTCTTCTGAAGTACTCTGATTGGTGATATCAAGCAAAATCTTTGGCACTTTACCAACAGATCTGGTATGATATCTGCTTCTGGTTTTTGGACGTGGGGTGATCAAAGAATTAGTGTGCTCAAGTTGAGCACCTGATGTTGATTCAGAAGGACCAAGATCAGTATGGTCCTGGGGTACAACACTCTCAAGTTGTTCGCCTTCACTTTCTCTCAAGCGAGCTCTTGTTCTTTCAATGGCCTATGGAGGAAATCCAATTACAATCAGGATCATCCAGAACTATATAAAGCAAAACTTAATTTGATGGTATTCAGCTGTGTTAAGATGTAATAAAATTTCAAATCCTGACATGTATCTAGATACACAAAAAGTGCAACTGCATTGAAGTCAAGCCCAAATAGTTTCTAGCTTATAGTAATACCTGCGACTGGGAGAGCTCGAGGTGAGCTCATACCACACTTGCAGTGTTAAGGATTTTAAGTTACTTAACTGGCATAACAGTACCACAAGCATATCAAACCTTTATTAAGAGAAGCAAAGAATTTCTCCCGTCTCTTTCTAGTTTCTGATTGTAGTTAAAATAGAAACTTGAATTGATAGCATTATTCAGCAACTGATATAGATTGATTTATTTTGTCTAACTTAAGTTAAGTAGCTGAACAGTGGAGGTAATGAGAGACATGGTGGGCCAATAAAATGCATAGATGAAAAGTCATATAACTGCAAAAGGGAAAAATAAAAAGAAACAAAACCAATTAAGAGGTAATTGATAACTATTGGATTAGTTCTTATATGTGAGCATAACTTAATCTTTATACAGAAATGCAAACTTTATATGTATTTCTTGAGCCCATTCACAATTATAAAGTGAAATATAATTTATTTCATGGTATCAGCCTATCAGGTTAGCTTCGTCTCGTTCTTTTGTCTTCCTCTAACCTATTCTTTTCAATTTTATCATCTTCTTCCAGTCTGATATGGCTTAAGTGTTACATTCTTTATCATTTGCACATCTCATTCTACCACTTCTCAATACATCAAAGATCTTGTTATTGATGTTCATTGATTTAGCAAACTATATGTTCTGGAGGAAACTTCTTTAGCCTCTTTTCAAAGGTCAACTTAAACTCTATGTTATGGAGGATTTCTTTTGCCTCTCTTCAAACTTCCAAAGGTCACAGAGATATAGTTATTTTGGCGTAGCTACTTTCGCCCTGCACCCACCACGCTCAATGATAATGACACCTCTATTCTCAATCCATCCTTTCACTAATGGAATTCCTAAACCATGATCAAAGTGATTTATCAATGCAACTCTGGACTACTATAAAATTCTCAACTACATCATAAATGTTAAATAGATAGGGAATAAAAAAGTAACTTAATCTTTGAGCATAATACACACAGTATGCACTACTTGTTTAAGATACGTTGAGATAAATATTCTTTTAGGAATGTGTAGGCACACTAATTCAAATTGGGTACAGGCTAATGCAAGTAGTGGAACTTCCTGTATTGAGCTTAGACATCTTAATCCACATAGGCTGTTGCAAACAAGTTGAGAAAGCTTGAACTGTAAACAGCTTGCTCAACTACTGATCACTCATATGCTCACCAAACATTTGCTAGAGCTGAGGGTCTATTGGAAACAGACTATCTACCTCGCAAGATAGGGGTAAGGACAGCATACACACTAAACTCCCCAAACCTCACTTGTGGTATTACACTCATTATATTGTTGTTGTTGTATACTCACCAAACAAACAAACAGTGAGATAGCAGACAACAATTGAGCTTTACTTTAATCCCAGAATGAGCAAAACATATTCTTGTTAGAACTATTAATGCTAGATGAATCAAAACTCTATCAGGCAACCAAATGTTGACTTACAAACACAAATGTAAGATAAGCAACCTAAGTCTATGTCCATATCATCATGCAGATCCATCTCTTAGCTGCATATTGAAATGTGCAGGCACTATTTCTAAATTCTAAATCCATCTCTCATTATAACCAGTTACTCTTGTAGTTCATTGGACCATATGTATGAGAAATTAAGTATGAATAGCAAATCAAGATTATCTAAAAGAAGCTCAGTCTCTAAATAGGCAAGAAAGTAGTTACCCTGACAATGGAAGTAATGTCACGGAGAGGAGTTCTTGGATACCAAGCTGGAAGGACACTGTGACGCCCTCGATTTCTCCCCTGGCCTGCTGGTGAAATGTTCTGACGACCAATCACCCTGGTTGGAGTTCGAAGTGAGTTTCGTCCACGCCTATTCCTTGGCGAACCAAAACCAATCCTTCCAATACCACCACGACCACCGCTGGTGCCTGCCATTCTCCCTGTTTCCGCTGTAGTCTGTATAGGAGCTCTGGAAGAGCTTTCTGGTGATTCATCCTCGAAGATCTCAATGCCACCTCTGCCCATTGACCTCCGCCGACGACTGTAGATGTCTATTGGGTCTTCTTGCCTAGATAATCTGTCTCTTCCTTCGGCCATTTTTCTAAAATATTCAACTGAACCAAAAAACAAACAAAGAAATGTTATCTAAACATTTAATCCTTTACTAGTAGTGAGTTCTGATATGAACCTATTTCATTCCCAAACAATGACCCAGAAGACCATTTTAGCCAGAAATGTAGACAACTGCTAGCAAATACATCAACTTCAACTACCAGATTGAATCTCTTATCTAAAAAAGAAACAAAAAAATCCGATGACCCAGAAGTCCAATTAAGCCAGAAATATATCCAACTGATAACAATACAATCAATTTCAACAACCAGATTGAATCTCTTGTTTAAAAGAAAGAAAATTTCCGATGACCCGTAACACCATTTCAACCGGAAAATGTAGCTAACTAAACATCAAACAGTAAACAGCGAATCTTCCAACGATCGGACATGTAGTCAACTGGCAAATACATCAATTACAACTACCAGATTGAACCTCTAACACAAAGGAAAGAAATTTCCGATGAACCATAACACCATTTCAACCGGAAAATGCAGCTAACAGAACATCAAACAGTAAACAGCGAATCTTCCGACGATCGGAAATATAGCAAACTCATAGCAAATACATCAATTACAACTACCAGATTGAATCTCTAACACACAAAAAATAAAATCCGACGACCCATAACACCATTATAACCGGAAAATATAGCTAACTGATTGCAAACACATCAATTACAACTACCAGATTAAATCTCAAACACAAAAATAAAGAAAATTTCCGATGACCCATAACACCATTTCACCCGGAAAATGTAGCTAACTGAACATCAAACAGTAAACAACGAATCTTCCAACGATCTAAAAGAAGTAAAGAAAACAAAAATTACCTTGAAAAAATCTTCTGGGTTGGTATTAGGGTTCTTGAGGAGGCTCTGTAGTAGTGGAAAATGAAGAGATAGAAAGCTTAGAGAGAGATAGGCACATTGGCAAATTTTCAAAATTTGATTTGGGCGGTTCTTTATAACAAAATGAAAATGAAAAATTTCACAAACTGAAAATTTTGAAAAAATTTGAAAATGGTGAGCACGTGACGTCTATTAATTATTTGAATTTAAAATTTAAAAAAGGATACAAATTTAATGGGAAGCACGTGAT